GATCTGATATGAGAGCGTAGCGAAGTGGTTAACGTGTCAAGAGCTGCAAGGTGGAAGCTGTAGTTCACTTTAGACTAGATAAGAATACCTGTTAGGAAGCAAAGCTGTGTAAAATTCAATGGAAGCGTAAGGCCTACTCATCTTATTGTGGGGGAATTCAACTACCAGCCATTTATAACCTCAAACGAAATAGGGTGAATATAGATATTATTTGAAAGTAAGTTGTTTCAGCCTTGGTATACGGCTCATATGCTATATTAAAAATGCCTAATATGTAATTTCATCTTCTTGTAAAGAATCAAAGTTTGACCTAGAGATTCTTTAAAGTCAATTACTTCATTTGGAGACACAATTAACGTGATGTAATATTGCCGAAGTCAACTGACATGCCTTCTCACTCTAAATTTTACTATTCGTCTCCAATTCACTCATTTGAGTATAACAATGAATCTCAACTGTCAAAACTTGATTTTTCTGGACCATCCCGTCTTAGATTAGAAATCCGCGGCAGTGCTGCTCAGATTGAGTTAAGTTTGAAACTCCGGTCCATCCTGAAAAAACAGTGCAATTCTAATAAAAAAGCGAGTCATTTACTTTGGCTAATTCTGGCAGTCCATTTGTAACTAATTAAAAATCGACATTGATGTATTCATGTTGAAAATACCCAAAACAATAAGGTCTATGCGATTTACTGAATTTCACTTGACCTCATTTAGTTAACGGGTCATGCTGATTTGGAGACTTCAGATGGCGTCGTTTGCCACTTCAAATCATGTGATCATTCCGCAAAGGACAGTCGACAGGACGAATTTAGTCTGTCTGGCAAGTAGGGAGTCATGTTTAGCATAATATTGTAAAGCGTCCAAGAGGAAGAATAATTTTTTGATGACCTTCTTATCAGCTGGAATATCGTTCCGAAGGACCATCAAAGACATTTCTGCTTACATACCCTATTAAGCCATCTTTATGATGCAACAGTCTCCTCCAGAAGGCAATATAATAAATAATATCGCTTCACACTTGAACTCAGCCCGAAGAAGACTGGACGATTTCACTATATCTTCCCCCCGTAGACTATAAGTACAAAACATTTGCAAAACGAGCCTATGACTATCTTCTTTATCAGATATTTATAGTAATTTAATATAATCCTGCCTCTCAGAAGGTATTCTCATCCAGAGTAGGCTGTAGATTTTACCTTTCCCGGATCTTATCGGCATTCCAACAGGATTCGAGCAGAGTCTTGCTCAAAGTAACGATATTCAAATGAGGATAAGAATAAAGTCTTCCTTCCTACTTTAGTTAAATTATGTAAGATGTAATGGTCTTCTGTTGAAATAGGATTTACTGATTCAAGGTGGTTAAAGTACTGGTGAAATTAACATAAAATGATGAAAATAAGCATAAGCCTAGCAAATAGCCTTACCTAAAATAAGACATTGAAAAACTTGCGAGAACAGAGATATCGGTAAAAATGTTGTATCATGTCACAGTGTGTTGCTAATGGAGCAACAGACGATAAGTGGAGGAAAATACATGGTTTCCACTGAAGATTATAACATGACTAATAGAAACGGCTAAACCTGGTGAACACAAGTTTTATGCAAAACTTGCCCCATTCAACTCGTGTCGGTCATCGCGACTTGTCAGGGATACAAGCATTTTTGGCTTATCAAGCAATAATGAGTATGTATCTAAATTTCATTTCATGAACAAAATTCATTAATGGTTTTGACACCGTATTTGTAGTGCTAATAGCTAGTGGCAAAACTGCGATGTATCCTCATTCGCCCAGGGCTGTTTCAGCATGTAGTAATAGTAGTGGTGTTCTTATCATTCGTAGCAATAGTAGTAGCAGTAGCAGTAGTAGAAGAATTAGCCGTAACAACAGCAGTAGTATCGGTAGCAGCAGCAGCCGCTGTAGTTGTAGTAATCTTAGTAAAACCATTGTTGTTAACTTGAAACAAGGTGTTTTCATTAGGTCTAAACCTCTAATGTTTGTTGCCATATACTGAGAGGCGATATACTTATGAGAAACCAAAGAGGAAACCCCATTCTATCAATGTACTTAACTACTTCTAGAACACCCGAAACACGCCCTCTTTCAAAGCAAACAACACATTTGATTTCGATTATGCGTGACCTGCAACCCAAAGGTATACAAGCCTATAACATGCAGGGTCAGAGACAAACCTGTTACGTCTCAGCCATTAGGCCTTTGAGAAATGAGTTGCAAAGTGGGTGTGATGCTCAGGGCGAGGCGAACAGCAGAAGAATATGTATAGTAAGTTCATAGTTCATACATAACATACAGTGAACTGTGCCTGCAAAATAAGGACCTTTCTTCAATTTGTTCCGATTAACTAAACTCTTGAGGCCCTTTTGCACTAAACAATGGAATAGACAGATAAAGGAAAAGATCCTCTTTAGACCTCATCATCTTCTCTCAAAGCTCACCTGTATGGAATGCAGGTTGTCTTTTTAATAACTGTTAAAACGGTTGCACAGCACTCCTCACGGCATCTCCAAACAAGTCTCAAAAGCATTTAAAACCACCACAAGGACTGGCCTCGTCCTCCGCAAATTTTTGCAGATATCGATAAAAACTACTTTATGAGATTATCAGTAAATATTGAATAAGAGTTC